GCTGTGGATCGCCGGATCGGCTTTCACCGTGGACGAAGCGGAGTCCAGCCCGGGGTCGTCACATGTGGTTGCCGCAGGCATCACTATATGGCAAGGGGCGTAACATTTCCGTCTCATGCTTGAGGTATTCGGCCAATCACAACGCACTGGATAGCTGGCCAATCAGAGCACACCTCGCTTTTCAGACTGATGAGCTTTGTAAAAATCGACGCGTTTCAGAAAGGCGGGGCATAGAGGAGAAACAATAATGTACAGTATGTGGAAAATAATGTGTTTTTTGAACCTTAAACTGCATAAACACATTTCATTACACCAAATACACAAAATAATGTTCTTTTTAGCAACATCATATGACCCCTTTAATAGAATACTGTAGTTCACACTATTTTGTCACCAAATTTGTCATCAATTAAACCTGTATGACTTTCTTCTTTGGCACACAGAAGAAGATATTTTGAAAAATGTTTATTTATTTATTTATTGTCCATAATCAAAGTCAATGGATTCGATTTGTTTCTTGTATTATGCAGAAGAAAGTCAGTAAAAACTTGAAAGTACATGAGGGTGGTAAAATGGTGACAGAATTTAAATTTTTGGGTCAACTGTCCCTTTTAGAAATCATTACAGTTGAATGTTAGTGTCTGTAATGACATTGAATACACATATTCCCCAGTAGCTAATTAATTTAGATGTACAGTATCTTGTTACTTTTATTAATGCCTACAATTCAGGCATAATAGTCATTATAAAGTGAGACGGTAACCACAACAAGAGCGTCAGAGAGTGTAATACGTTTAACAGGAGGCCTGCATGGCTGAAAGACAGTGTATTTCTTTCATTCTCCATCTCTTCCTCTGTTATTGCAAAGTGAAGTCACCGTAACTTAAGTGCTGTGCCATTTTATAGCCCTATCACACAGCTCATAAAAAGAAAACGAAATCACTCACATGACAATATAGACTTTTAATGACCTATACAGCAAACACAAGCATGATTTCATCAGGTGGACACATCTTGAGCTCTCAGGTTTTGAGATGAGGGACGAAAAACCCTCCATGCTGCTCTTTTTGACAATTTTTAAAAGGAGGACATAAATGAACTGATCCTGAAAACGTTACAAAAAGACAGACTCCACCCATACTTGCTCTCTCATTAAACTAAATGTTAGTAGCATTTTGAGTCACTCGCCTCCTTAGTGGGTTGTAAACACAAACATAGTTTGCAAAAATGAATGTTTGCTGGAGACTTCATGCAGGAGGTGCAATGACACATTTAGAAAGAACTGTTGTCAGCAGCAGAGAGGAAAGTGTTCATGGCGTTAAAACACACTTAAAGGGATAGTTCACTCAAAAATTTTAATTCTCTCACTGTTTACTCATCCTCATGTCATTCCTAACCCATGTGCTGTTATTTTATCTAACACAGAAGGAGACATTTCTGATGTTTTTCCTCTGATACTCTTGCCTTCCAGTCAGCTGTTAACTAAAGAATCAGATCACTGAGTCAGTGAGTTGAACTCAAAAACCAGATCAGTTCATTTTACGAATAATTACTTTACATTTGGATTTATTCATTTAGCTTATATCCGAAATGACTTACAAATGAGGAGCATCACAAGCAATTTGACATAGAGCCAAGTTTAATATAAACTTTTGTTAAGTTGTTTTGGGATGATTCTTTTAAATGATTTCATCCTTCAAATCAACTCAGTGACTCTAACACAACAACTAACACAACAATTTCTACTCAGTTAGCTAATTAAATTTTAGTTCATAACACAAAGCTATCAAGCTAGTGAGCTTGACATATACTAGTTTAGTGTCAGAGTTGTTTTTTTTTTTTAAAGCAATTAATACTTTTTTTACTTTCAGCAAGGATGCATTGACTTGTTTAAAAATGAATATAAAGACTTCTACATTGCCACAAATGTGTATTTCAATTAATTGCATTCTATTCATCAAAGAATCCTGAAAAAAAAATTAAGCAGCACAAATTTTCAGCTGTGATAATAATACGAAATCAGCATATTAGAATGATTTCTGAAGGATTATGTGATTCTGAAGACTGGAGAAATGATGCTGAAAATTCAGCTTTGCCATCACAGGAATAAATTACATTTTAAAATATATTAGTATAGTTATTTTACAGTTTAGAGTTATAATAGTTATTTTGTAAAATGTTACATTGTATTTCACAATATTATTGCATTTACTGTATTTTTGATAATATAAATGCAACCTGGGTCAGCATAAGACTTCTTTCAAAAACATTAAAAATCTTACTGACCCCAAACTTTTGAACAGTAGTGTACCTGGTCACTGTAAATTATCAATATAAGAATCCTTTCACCTTTTTCACACTTTTTCACGAAATAACATACAGGTTTGAAGCAACACAAGAGTGAATAAATTATCAGAATTAAAAGAAGGGGGAAAATCCTGTCTTGGAAGACATTAAGTCTGAGTGTAGACTGTAATCAAACACTTGCTGCTGAGAGCTG